ATAGAAATAAGCAAACAAATCAGATGACCATCAGAGGAAGGATATACCTGATAACCCTTTCCCTCTCAGGTTACATTTACACAAGACAATTAAATCAAAAACAGATACAGTATACACATATCCTTATCTTTTCCATTTTTGAAGTTTCACATCCTGTACACACAGGATTGTTGAGGATGAAGGTTTTGGTAAAATCATTTTTTGTAGCCTGTTAACAGTAATAAAAGAAAAAAAGAGTATATTAAGCCCCCCAAAATTGTTAAAATTGTAAAAAAAAAAAAAAAAAGTTTTGAGTTTTTAAGTTGAAATCATCTTGTAAATGAGGCGACACGGTGGCTCAGTGGTTAGCACTGTCGCCTCACAGCAAGAAAGTCATTGGTTCGAGTTCTGGCTCGGTCAGTTGGCATTTCTGTGTGAAGTTTGCACATTCTCCCAATGTTCCCATGAGTTTCCTTCTGGTGCTCTGGTTTTCCCCACAGTCCAAAGACATGCGCTATAGGTGAATTAAATAAACTAAATTGCCCGCAGTATATGTGTGTGAAAAGAGTGTGTATGGGTGTACTGGGTTGCAGCTGGAAGGGGATCCGCTGTGTAAAACATACACAGGATAAGTTGGCGGTTCATTCTATAAAGGAGCTAAGCTGAAGGAAAATGAAAAAATCATCTTGTGAACATACCCTCATTTATTAAAAGGAATACGATTATAGTAATGAGTGATTTGTTTTTCATGTTTGTCAGTTAAGGACCCCATTAGCATGACATCAATAACATATTTATGAGGACTTACAGCGTACTGTAAGTGTATTTGTGCATTGTAATAACAACATGAGTGTTGTGTAGGTGTCATTTTTGTGTTTAAGTCAGGTTTTAACTACTCTGTGGGGACAAAAGCTCATCTTAAAAGAAGAGAATAAAAGTTATTTATAAGTAAAATGACTAGCATTGCTGAGGCCAGCTGTCATTATCCCTTTCAAGAAAAGTTGGCAGATAAATTTGCAATGCCTCCGGGCAGTTCATCAAAGACCTACTTGTATCGAAATGAATGAGGAAATACGTAAATCTCAAAAACTGCTGCCTGAACTTACAGTTAAATGACATCTTTGAAATCTGTAACATTTCAGTTCAAAATATCCCACAGACCATTTATTAGTCTATAGCTGGTCAAATTTCCCCTTTTTATGAGCAAAAACCCTTCATTTCTGTGTAATGAATTGTGGCTTTCAGAAGAGAGCAAAGGTCTATTCTGAAAAAAAAAACAAAACAATGAAACATTTGGTAACACTTTATTTTGATGGTTCATTTGAGTATTAGAAGACTCTGCCTAACATCTGTTGATACTGCTCCTTCAACAGACATTCAACTGACTATAAGAAACTTGTCAAGTACATGTCAAATTACACTAACCCTAACTCCAACATATCAGTCTACTTATAATCTTATGAAAATTAGTTGAAATGTAACTTAACTTCAACAAACGGACCATCAAAATAAAGTGTGATCAAACTTTTTTTTTTTTTAATGAGATCTCATTCAGACAAAATGTCATTTATGACCAGTTTAAGCCTTTCACAGTTTAACTCAAATATTTAATATTATAAGTGTCTTTATTTTTCCCTGATTTTCAATAAAAAGCTGAATGTCCATGACATCTATGATATATATATATATAATATACAAACAACAGTTTCTAGTTTCTGTCTGGTTCTCGAATTTGATTGGCTGATAGCCATGCAATATTCTGCAATAACAGCACTCATAAGACCTCCTCATCCTTTTTACTCCAGAGTGACAGCAGATCAATAAATTCACTACAGTTTGACAAATATTGCAGCTGTTGGACAACATTATGTACTTTTGAGGCTTTTTAGGCAAGAATATAGTTTTTTACATTGCAACTATGCAGTTTATTTATAAGGAGAGTGCCTATTTATAAATTTATGATTTTGAGATTCGGCGCATCAGCATCCATCAGCCTGTCATACTGAGCAGAGCAAAGACAGTTGACATTCTTCCACAAGATGGCGACAGAGGCCATATATTAGGAGTCCTTAGAGGAGAAAAATCTAGCGTAACTGATCAAATTATTATAAAAAAGGTAAGAGACTTTCAATGAAAATGAAAATGAAAGTCAACCTCTCTCTTTTGTATGTTGCAGTTCTGTATTTATACCATAGTCTATTAGTGTTTGCTTTGCTTTGGCTTTTTCGGAGTTAATTATTTTAATATTCTGATTGCAACTGAGACATAATCGGAAATCTCTGTAGACTGATGGTATTTCATGTCGTTCAGCCTTATAATCTTAAAATGTCAGCAAAATCTCCTGTTTTGTCATCCCTTTGTATATTACGCTAGAAAATCATTCAAATACGAGCTTTAAAATCACGTTGGTGAATTAGTAACGGCTTCTGCTGTTCTAACATCAGCTGCAGATGAGAATAAGTGGTAGAAGAAAGTAGTTCCTCATACAAAAGGGCTTTTAGACTCTCCTTTTTGATTTTCTTTTTTATATACATATTATGCTGTCGAACTGTTGTATAAACGCAATATCACAGGAGTAGCTTTGTATATAAGCATTACACTGTTAGCACAATTTCTTCCGATCTAATGACCTTTGCGGATAAAGTCTGAGAAAATGCTCATTTAAACCACATTAGCCATACCTTCAGAAAGGAAATTTAAAAACATTCTCAAAAAATGAAGTCAACTACTTGCTCTGGATATAAAGTTAAAACTTCAAGCACAAGTATTGACTCACTCTTAAGAAACAGTGCTGAACCAACCATCGTTGGTGAAGCAATGCAGCCTTCAATTTATTCAGCAAAAAATACATTATATAACATTTCATCGCCATTCCTCAGCACAGCCACAACGTTACTGGCATGTACTTTTTCACATATTCGGGGAAGTCACATGGACTCGGGATCCCATTACATTTCACATTACACTTACCCTTGGTAAAACTCAAATTGTTCCTGATGTTTCAACTTCACAATGTGATTCTGCCATATACCGTTTGGTTTGAGGTTAGGAAACAGAATGGCATTAGCCAGTATATAAACAAAGTCCAAAGAATGCGATCATTGTACGTGTGTGAGGGAAATAGTTTTTTTAAGAGAGAGATATGATATATTGAATAATAATGTTATATATTAAATAATATGATGATATATTAAATTATAATGTGATATATTAAATAATATGATATATTATATATATTTTTATTTTTTTACATGTATAAATTCTTCTTATACTACTACTACTGTATGTAGTAGTATAGGGAATATGTATGTTCTTTTAATTTTATGTAAACTTAATAACTGTTTTGGCAATGCATTTGTAACATTTGTCATGCCAATAGAGCAATTATTGAATTGAATTGAATTGAGAGAGAGAGAGAGAGAGAGAGAAAGAGAGAGAGAGAGAGAGAGAGAGAGAGAGAGAGAGTGTGTTTGTGTTTCTCCCAAAAGAAAGTAGTCACTGTGAAAAAAGGTTTTTGTGCGTGTGTATGTGTGTGTGTGTGTGTGTGTGTGTGTGTGTGTGTGTATGTGTGTGTGTTTGGATGTATCTGTGAGAGACAGATTGTGAGTTTGTGTGTGTGTTTTTTAGAAGTTTCAGTCAATATATAGTATGGTAGGGCTGCACAATATTTGAAAATCAGAACACTGCGATATTTTGTTTTGCCGAATGTTTTGTTATCCGAGTAAAATTTCAGCAGATGATTTGAACAGATCTATTGAGAAACATTTCATTCATTTAGATCAACTGGGATGAACAAGTCTTTTTCTAATCCATTGCATCCTCATAAATGATAATAAATTACACGCAGAAATAAATAAATAAATAAACTGCTTTATGGTTTTCTGGTGATTTTAACAGTATTTACCTACAGAAATTGAACAAGCATGTGTAAAAATAACATGGTCAAATAATAAAAATTTGTATAGTGTAATACACTCACCGGCCACTTTATTAGGTACATCTGTCCGACTGCTTGTTAACGCAAATTGCTAATCAGCCAATCACATGTCAGCAACTCAATGCATTTAGACATGTAGGCATGGTCAAGATGATCTGCTGCAGTACAAACAGAGCTTCAGAATGGGGAAGAAAGGTGATTTAAGTGACTTTGAACGTGACATGGATGTTGGTGCCAGACAGGCTGGTCTGAGTATTTTAGAAAATGCTGATCTACTGGGATTTTCACACACAACCATCTCTAGGGTTTACTGAGAATGGTCCGAAAAAGAGAAAGTAACCAGTGAGCGGCAGTTCTATGGCCAGACTGGTTCGAGCTGATAGAAAAGCAATAGTAACTCAAATAACAACTCGCTACAACCAAGGTATGCAGAAAGTCATCTCTGAATGCACAATACATCCAACCTTAAGGCGGATGGGATACAGCAGCAGAAGACCACACCGGGTGCCACTCCTGTCAGCTAAGAATAGGAAACTGAGGCTATAATTTGCACACTCAACAAAATTGGACAATAGAAGATTGGAAAAAAAGTTGACTGGTCTGATGAGTCTCGATTTCTGCTGCATCATTCGAATGGTAGGCTCAGAATTTGGCATCAACAACATGGAAGCATGGATCCACCCTGCCTTGCATCAACGGTTCAGGCTGTTAGTGGTGGTGTATTACTTTAATACCAATACAGCATTGTGTCAACACCACAGCCAACCTGAGTATTGCTGCTGACCATGTTCTTTCCTTAATGACCACAGTATACCCATCTTCTAATGGCTACATCCAAAAGGATAACGTACCATGTCATAAAGCATGAATCATCTCAGACTGGTTTCTTGAACATGATAATAACGAGTTCACTGTACCCAAATGGGCTCCACATTCCCCCGATCTCAATTCAATAGAGCACTCTTGGGATGTGGTGGAATGGGAGATTTGGGTAATGTGACTACTGCAGATACACACATTGCGATATCGATGCTGAAACAATATATTGTTCCGCCCTACAGTACAATACAGTACAGTGCAGTACCTCTCAGCGCAGTTGTCCTGGCAGCGGAAGACAGTCATTTTCTTGTAGTCCAGGAAGGACACTCCTCTGAGTGCTCGCTTCTGTGTGTCGTCTACATAGCAGCCGATGTACTTGGCTAAAGAGAAAAAGACATTGAAAAAAAAATAAATAATTAAAAAAATCACTGCAGTCTCCAGTATTAGCTATATGAAAAAGAAATTAAAGCCCTGATCTGAATACTCTTGAAAAAGAAATCATGTTGATTCTCAGAAAGACTGTAAAGCAGCTTTGAAAATAATGTTCTAATGTTGAAGCACAGCACCATCTTGTGGACAAATGGTGAAGTCACATCCAAAGCTCTGAGTGTGGGAATTTATCAAAGATGCTAAGATTATATATATATATATGTGTGTGTGTATGAATATGCATATTGCAGCATTTATATGCTGCAATATTTATTCAATAATTAATTTTATTTTCGGCTTAGTCCTTTAATTAATTAGGTGTCGCCACAGCGGAATGAACCGCCAACTTATCGAGCACATGTTTTTAAACAGCGGATGCCCTTCCAACCGCAACCCATCACTGGGCAACACCCTTACACATTCATTCATACTGATACACTACGGACAATTTAGCTTACCCAATTCACCTGTACCACATGTCTTTGGACTGTGCACCCAGAGGAAACCCAGGCAAACACAGGGAAAACATGCAAACTCCACACAGAAATACCCAGCCGGGGCTCGAACTTTGTTGCTGTGAGGCGATTGTGCTACCCACTACACCACCATGCTGCTATGCTGCAATACTTTACATTGTTATTATTATTATTATTATTATTATTATTATTATTAATAACAATGACAATAATAATAATAAAATAATTATTATTTGTTTGAAATAAAACAAAATAATCATTATCATAATTTTTTGAACATATTAATTGTTAAGTAGTGTGGAAAAAAATGTGTATAATGTAGATTAAATAATTTGTTTCCATAATCTTTCTTCATCTACTTATCATTATTACAACTATAATTTGTGTATTTTAATGCTAAATAATGGTATTTATGTGAAAAATATTTTATATTAAAAGTTCTTGTTTTTTTTTATTATCATCCTAATCATCGTCATCATTAATATTATTATTTGTAGTATCATTTAATGTGAAAAATAATATAATTATTAACCTATTAACAAAATTATCATTATCATTATCATAGTTGTTGTTGTTGTTATGATTGTTATTATTATTATTATTATTATTATTATTATTATTATTATTATTATCATTATTATTTTAGAATATATTATAATTATTAACTAGTGTGAAAAATGTGTATAATGTGGATAAAATAGTTTATTTCAATCATCTTCATCTACTTATTATTATAACCACAATTTGTGTATTTTATTTTTAATTATACTTATATGTATAGTATTTACCAGAGATGGGTTGCAGCTGGAAGGGCATCCGCTGCGTAAAACATGTGCTGATTAAGTTGGCGGTTCATTCTACTGTGGCAAGCCCAGATTAATAAAGTGACTGAGCCGAAAAGAAAATTAATGAATGAATGTATGGTATTTGATGTTAAATTGTTTCTTATTATTGTTGTAAAAAGTATTAAACACATGAATAAAGGGAGGTGTTTTGGGGCAGTGAAAGCCCTGACAGCAGCTGAAATCTCTCGGTAGTTCTTCAGCAACCCTCTGCCCTTATCATTGTATATTAACATTCGCTGCTTCAGTCCAACATCTACATTATCAGGATGATAAAGATGAAACCAGGGCAGACTTTTCAGCAAGACAATGATCCAAAACACAACCAAGGAAACTCTCAAATGCTTTCACAGAAAAAAAATAAAGCTGTGGACTGGCCCAGCCAATCACCTGACTTGAATCTAATAAGAAATACAAATTGAAGATCAAATTTGATAGACAAGACCCACAGAACTATCAAGATTTTTACACTCTGTTAAAGTCTGTGCAAACAACTAACAGCTTAGCAATTCATGTGACTTCATTCACCATATGAGAGGCTTCTTTAAGCTGCCATCACCAAAAAAAGCCTTTTATATTAAGTATTAAATGCATTTCAGTAGTTCAGTACTTTCTCCTTGTGTCATTCCAATGTGATTTCACATAATATAATAACAACTGAGAATTTTTTTTATTGTTTTTTTTTTTTAATGTTTGTATTGTTTGGGTTTTTATGGAAATCTGGTTCAATTCCATGTTAACCTCTCCTTTAGAAATAGAATTCAGAGGGGGAAAAAAACTATGACATCTTAAATGCTTATTTTCCCCAGTGTATATATAATGTTATATATATATATATATATATATATATATATATATATATATATATATATATATATATATATATACAGTTGAAGTCAGAATTATTAGCCCCCTTTTGATTTTTTTTCTCTTTTTTTAATATTTCCCAAATGATGTTTAACAGAGCAAGGACATTTTTACAGTATGTCTGATAATATTTTAACTTCTGGAGGAAGTCTTATTTGTTTTATTTCAGCTAGTATAATAGCAGTTTTTAATTTAAAAAAAAACAATTTTGGGACAAAATTATTAGCCCCTTTAAACTAATTTTTTTTCCGATAGTCTACAGAACAAACCATCATTATACAATAACTTGCCTAAATACCCTAACATGCCCAATTCACCTTATTAACCTAGTTAAGCCTTTAAATGTCACTTTAAGCTGTACAGAAGTGTCTTGAAAAATATCAAGTAAAATATTATTTACTGTCATCATGACAAAGATCAAATAAATCAGTTATTAGAAATGAGTTATTAAAACTATTATGCTTAGAAATGTGCTGAAACAATCTTCCCTTCATAAAACAGAAATTGGGGAAAAAAATAAACAGGGGTGTTAATAAGTCAGGGGGGCTAATAATTCTGACTTCAACTGTATATATATATATATATATATATATATATATATATATATATATATATATATATATATATATATATATACTTTTTTTTTTTCATTTTATCATTACTGATATTATAAAAAATTCCAACACTTAAACATTTTACTTTTGTTGAAAAATATTGTGAAAAAGATATTAAAGTTATTATTTAAAGGATAAGTTATTAAATTTAGTTCTCTATTTTATTCTAATTTATTAATTAGTAGTAGTAAATCCCCAAGGAGACTCGCTGTAATTCCACTACAAACATAATTTTATTGTCTTTAAAACTACAAATCATATGGTAAAACCCGACATTATTGTATATAGACCTTAATTTGTTTGGAACATACACACTCCCTTGAAGATTTGATCAAAACAAAACATAAGTATGATTAATCTGATTAAATAAGTACAACAGTCTGCCACCCAGTGACACACAATACAGAGAAAGCTGCTTCATTAAAAGCCTGTAATATCAGATATTATAAAACATCTACGATCTGGATATTGCAGTTGTTCTGGGCGAAAACATTTACAGTCGGATGCACTGATGCATCATCTGCTCCATCAATCTCATCATTTGTGACACACACACACACACATACACACACAGACAAATACAAAATGCCCTAACATGCCCTGTTCCCTGACATCCGTTCTTTCTCTGTAATCGCATCTGACTCCATTAGTATTGAAGGTATTTTCTAATAGCTGTGGGTGGGCTGGTGAAGGGGGGCTCTGTCACATACACGCACTAAGCGCTACCGCATTATAGTAATTGCAATTGTCTAAAAGCAGTGAGCGGGACGGCGAGCTGCGAGTTAATCGTATTGGCAGCACAGAGGGCAAACGCCGTAATCTGCTTTATCTACAAGTCAAGCTCCATTCACTCCACACGCCATTGCTTTTCTGTGAAGCAGCTGCTGGAAGAGTGTGCGTCAACTCTCACTCACTAACACACACTGAATGAAGCTGCACTGTTCTCTCAGACGCGCAGAATTAAACACAGTAAAAAAGAGGAACAGGGGTCACATATTACAGTTCTCCAGCTGAACCACCATAAACTCATTCAAACCGTTATGTAGGTTTCCATACCCTTATCATTAAGTATTACAGTAATAATAGTACTAGCTGTAAATAAATAAGAATAAGAAGTTTAAATAACAATATAAATAATAACTAGTCCCAGACCATTTTATAACAATAATAATAATAATAATAACTATTATTATTATTATTATTAATATTACTATTATAAAAAGACGTACAAATTAGTACAATACTGTAAATGAATTACAGTGATGGGTGGAAGTTGTTATAAATTATTTACTAAATATCAACTAGCCCCAGTCTCCCATTATTTATTTATTTATTTATTTAATGTTATTTAAATTGATTTTTTATGAATATTATTAGTGGCAGAATTCAAATATAAACACAAGTAGAATCACTTGTCCTAATCTGACAAATTGTTTATTTATTAATTAATGTACTAATTTATTTATTGATTAATTTATTATCATTATTAGTGGTAGTATTAAAAAATAAATACAATTATAATCACCTGTTCCTATCCAACAAATTATTTTATTTATTTATTTATTTATTTATTTATTTATTTATTTATTTATTTATTTATTTATTTATTTATTTATTTATTTGTAATACAAGTATAATCACTTGTCTTAACCTGACAATTAATTAATTAATTTATTTATTAGTTAGTTAGTTAGTTAGTTAGTTAGTTAGTTAGTTAGTTAGTTAGTTAGTATTGGCAAAGAGCATAGAATCACCAAGAGGCGACACTTTAGTGAGATTTGGGAAACAGCCACTAGATGGCGCAGCGGCCATTTTGGAATAAAAATTCCAATAGAACAACAGCATTTTATAAGCCCGCAAAATAAACTATTAAAAGTGCTGATGATTGTGATAGTACGTATTTTATTGTTGTCTTTTTTTAGGTTGTATCTCAGCTTTAATGTGCTTTTTAAATAAACACATAAAAAACAAAGCAGGTGCTTGCCAGCGCGAAAGCAATAAGACCCATTGAACAGCCGATCGCTTTCAATGTTTATTTATTAATTTATTTATTTATCATCATTATTAGTGTTAGAATTCAGATATAAACACAAGTATAATCACTTGTCCTAATCTGACAAATTGTTTTTTTATTATTTAAATTATTAATTTA